TTTTTTTTTCTGTCGCGCAAGGTCGCGGTCGGGATGGGGGATGGGAACGGAGAAGGGAAAGGTCGGGATCAGGTCGGGAGGTCGCGGTCGGGGCAGCAAGGGGAGGGAGGGAGAGGTCGGGGAGAGAGTTGTGACGACGGGATGGGATGGGAGTCGCGAGGTCGGGATCAGAAACGGATCGGGATGGGAGGTCGGGACCGGGAGGTCGGAATGAGAGACGTGAACAGAGGGAGAGGTCGCGTTCGCGATGTTGAGATCAGGGCGCAAGGTCGCGGTCAGGGCAGCAAGGGGAGAGAAGGAGAGGTCGGGGGGAGAGTTGGGACGACGTCCAGATCGAGATGGGATGGGAGTCGGGAGGTCAAGATCGGAAACGAGTTGGGACACGGTCGGGGGAGCAAGGGGAGAAAGGGAGAGGTCGGGACGAGGAGATCGGGATGGGAGAACGGGACCCGGACGTCGGGATGGGAAACGCGAACAAAGGAGGGAGGGGTACAACGTCGAGGTCGGGATAGCATGGAAGCCGAGAGGTCGAAATGGGAGACGGGTTGGGACACGATCGGGGAAGCAAGGGGAGAGAGGTAGAAATCGAGACGGGGAGGTGGGGATGGGAGGTCGGGACCGGGAGGTCGGGATGGGAGACACGGACAAAGGAGGGAGAGGTCGGGATCAAGGAGGGAGAGTTGGAACGACGTCGAGATCGGGATGGGATGGAAGTCGGATGCGGTCGGGGGAGCAAAGGGAGGGAGGGACAGATGCTGAGGTCGGGATGGATGAGAGTCGGGAGGTCGGGATGGGAGACGGGTTGGAAAGTTGGGATGAGAGTTGGGACGATGTCGAGATCGGGAGGTCGGGATGGGAGACGGGTTGGAAAGTTGGGATGAGAGTTGGGACGATGTCGAGATCGGGATAGGATGGGAGTCGGGAGGCCGGGATGGGAGACGGGTTGGGACGCGGTCGGGGAAGCAAGGGGAGAGGGGGAGAGGTTGGCACGGGCAGGTCGGGATGGGAGACAGGTTGGGACACAGTCAGGGAAGCAAGGGGAGAGGGGGAGAGGTCGGCACGGAAAGGTCAGGATGGGAGGTCGGGACCGGGGGTCGGGATGAGAGACGCGAACAGAGCAGCAAGGAGGGAGAGTTGGGACGATGTCGAGGTTGGGATGGGATGGGAGTCGGGAGGTCGGGATGGGAGATGGGTTGAGATGGGAAAGGTCAGGATGAGGTCGGGAGGTCGGACCGGGGAGGTCGAGATGGGAGGTCGGGACCGGGAGGTCGGGATGGGAGACGCGAACAGAGGAAGGAAACGTCGCGATCAGGGAGGGAGAGTTCGGAGACAGATGCCGACGTCGGGATGGGATGAGAGTCGGGAAGTCGGAATGGGAGACGGGTTGGGACGTTGGGATGAGAGTTGGGACGATGTCCAGATCAGGATAGGATGAGAGTCGGGAGGTCGGGATGGGAGATGGGTTGGGACGCGGTCGGGGAAGCAAGATGTGAGAGGGAGAGGTCGGCACGGGGAGGTCGGGACCGGGGGATCGGGATGGGAGACGTGAACAAAGTAGGGAGAGGGGAAGCAAAAGGAGAGAGGGAGAGGTCGGCACGGAGAGGTCGGGACCAGGGGGTCAGGATGGGAGACGCGAACAGAGTACCGAGAGGTCGGGATCAGGGAGGGAGAGTTGGGACGATGTCGAGGTTGGGATGGGATGGCAGATGGGAGACGGGTTGACACGGGAAAGGTCGGGATGAGATCGGGAGGTCGGGCTGGGGAGGTCGGGATGGGAGGTCGGGACCGGGAGGTCGGGATGGGAGACGCGAATGGAGGAAGGAGACATCGCGATCAGGGAGCGAGAGTTCGGAGGATGTTTTTCTGAAAATCATCTATATCTTTTATTTTATTTATTTTATTTTTTTTTAATGCGATATTCTTTTTCGAAAAATCATCTGTATTAATCAACTGCTTTTTTTTGTGATCCCGATTGGGGAATCCAATGATCTATCACTAGGTCGTGACCATCTTGAACACCACCTAAAATCCACTCTTTTCGTTTCCATTTTTCCCTTTTTTTTTTCTTTTTTCTTTTTACTCAATCGATAAATCAATATGCTTTATTTTTGTAATATTCGTCTTTTTTTTTTTTTTTTTTT